CAAACGTAAAATTATCCATAATGACCTTAATTTGGTTTATTAATTGTTATTTCAACCATAAATATTATTGCCACAGCATCCCTTGCATACGCTTGTTGTGGTGCTACTACGATAATTAATTTCATTATTAAACATTTAATGTCAAAATTGTCAATTTGGTAAATGGGAGTTCTAAATTCAATCTTAAAATTGTCAGAACAAAATATTTTGAGTACAGTATTTGAAACTAAATTAAGGTTTATTCGAGCCACGATTTCCGAGACCCTCCCCGGTTATGCGAGCCCGGCAGACTCCTGGAGACAACTCACACCGACCCGGCGTAGGATTGATGACCCTACCCGCGTGTACTTCAGTCATTAATCGGAATGTGGTCAGAAGACCACATCTCGCGGTCAAAGATCTGCATGGTCTGTAGCGCCTACCGAAAAAAAAAAAAAAAAAAAAATATATATATATATATATATATATATATATATATATATATATATATATATATATATATCATTTTTATTCTCCTACCGCAATAAAATAGAACTGTAATCGCGTCAAATTTTTGCTGAGGTATTTTCAACGGATCATTTCGTTTCGTTTCGGCCATTAGTCTGTCTTCGTGTATGTCTTTGCTACCATTATCCCTTAAACAGGTGGTTCGATTTGGTTGTCATTTTTATTTCCATTTTTAAGTTTTGACTGCATTATTATCGCTGCGCAATATTAAAAAAAAAAATGCATTTCTTTAAACTGTAGTGTTTATACAGGTTCGAACAATTTTGATGAAATTGCCCAAAGGTTTTTAGTCCATGACACAGATCCTTTCATCAAATTATTAACAAAAACTTCGTGAATAGCTTCATCTCATCCTAAACTTTTTTATTTCTCTAATTTCTAATTTTCTACAATTCTCGGAATTTGGGCATTTTCAATCTGGAGATGGGCAAACTTTATCTATTTAATTAGATATTAAAAACTCATGAACACCCATTTGCTTTCCACTTGAATGGTAAGACAATTTTATCCCAAAATACAGAGGAAAAGGTGGCCTCTCAAAATTTTGAGTAATTTGGCGTGATTACCACCCCGATATGTCAAAATGATGAGGTTATATTGGCCACACGGCTCAATATTTTGTAGGCCACCTTTTTTCTAGATTTTGTGATTAAATTATCTTACGATTCATGTGGAAAGCAGATATTTATTTATAAGTTTTAGTACCTCGTTAGATTAATCAATTTAATGAGAAAACGGCCTAAGAAAATAGTGAAAACTTGTTTAGGTGCGTCTTGCACTTTTTTTGTGAAGAGTGAATTAGATTGAGCAGTCAGATCTCCGATGTGTAACGCTCGTCTAAAGTCGGCTGGAGTTCACTAATTTAAATCTTTTTGCATATTGTTAGCTAGGGCAATGTTAATCATTTATCCTCTCCGTAATGGGCTATTATTCAAAATTGTATCTTAACGCGACGCCGTATTAGAGAGACGAAAAGAGAAAAAATTGTGTCGAAAACCAAATGATAACGACTTTTATTGAAGATAAGGATTAAAATATATCAGAAAATAAAAATCGGAACTGCATATTGTAAGCAAAGGAAATGTTCAGCATTTCATCCTCTTTATGAGCCATTATTTATATTTCATATTATTAATCTCGCCTTATTGACGTTTTCACTTTTATCGTGGGGTCTTCGACCTTAGTTTTTTTTTTTTTTTAACTGAAGCGCGAATGATAGAAGGATTATTAAAAGCAAGAATTAAGTATTATAATATTGTAAAGTTGGCATAGATTGGGAGAATATGGTTTTAAATACCAAATATATATTAATCCACAACCATCAAATTATGGCATACACTTTTAACTTCTGGTGTACGTTATTGCACTTACTCCCTTCATTTTATTTTGTATATTAATGTGAATTCGTATTATCAAAGATATATTTATGTCTTGTTGCGTTATGCCCTTGTTTTGGATATGCTGGGTTGTATAACGCTAAGCGTTGCTAAGGTTTCGTTGGGCGAATCAAGAAGCTTGCCCTGTTTGCCACGGTTGAGATGTTCTCTCAGCCAGTTCTCTTGTATTTGGTAACGTCTTACGTAACTTCTGTATTTGCATTTGTGATAATGTCTATGTAATGGTTACGAATGTTAACGAATCTGTAGAGTAAGCAGGGCTTATGCCTTACTTTGAAATGGGTCCATAATGTATACGCACATTATAACGGTTTAATGAAACATCCTTTGGAAAAAAATATATATTGAAGAATTGTAATATACGCAGTGTCGTTGCTCAGAAAGATGAATCAAATATGTCTGTTATTGAAGAGAAAACTTTTTTAGACGCGTTATGTACTTTTTTTGTGAAGAGTGAATTAGATTGAGCCGTCAGATCTCAGATGTGTAACGCTCCGGTAAAGTCGGCTGGTGTCGACTAATTAAAGTATTTTTACAAGTGGATTAAAATATCTCAGAAAATAAAAATGCTGCAAATTATTTCACAGTGGTTTATTATTTCCAAACAATTATACATCTAAAGTAACATTACCTTCCGAGTTACATAGATAAATAAACAGTTGATTCCAATTATTGGACTAAACTTTTTTTTTTAATGATTAGTAATATGCTAAAAAAAAAAATAGCATTAGTTCAGTAACACATTCAAAATTTAAAAACCAAACCAAGTATATAACATTTGGAGTAAAACATATTAAAAAACCGGAGACCATATCGTTGCTCCTAATTGTCCGATTTTAACGATTTTTTTTTAAAGGAAATTTCGGAAAATTAAAATAACTATATACAACATCAACAAAAAAGTATAAACTTTTCGAATTATTCGGAATTTAATTTTAGCATCCCTCGTAACTATTTTTCCAGCTTCTTTTCGTTGAAGTATGTTATATAGATAAATTTAAAGGGCGTCGAGAAAATGACTTTAGAGAAGTTTCATTGAAATCTGTACATTCGTTTAGGAAGTACAATCTATAGCAACGCAGGTTTTTCGGCCGCCATTTGGAAAGTAAAAGGCGGATAGTAATGTCGATGAAGGAGGATCATCCTCGGGTGACCTCTGATTTTATATCAAAATTTGAAAAAAAAAAAACGGTCCAGTAGTTTCGGAGAAAATGCGCGGACGGCGGACGGACAAAAAAACTTATATTCGTTTTTCGAATTCTACGCGTCCGAAACGTGAAACCTCAAATTTTGAGGGGGGGTTAAGTTTTCGAATTTTTTGGTCGATCACAATAGTTGATTATTGAAAATAAACCGCGAAAGAATTATTCAGCATTTTATCCTCTCTGTGATGGGCTATTGTTCAAAATTGTATCTTAAAGCCTTGTTAGGGAGGCGAAAATAAAAAAAAAATAGTGTCGGAAACCAAATGATAACGAGTTTTATTGAAGATATGGATTAAAATATCTCAGAAACTAAAAATCTGACCTGCATACTGTATGTGAGGGAAATGTTTAGCATTTCATCCTCTTTACAATGAGCCATTGTTTATGTTTCATATTATTAATGTTGCTTTGTTGATGTTATCGTGGTCTAAAGCACACACCTTAGTTTTTTGTTATAGATTTATTGATTAATTTTTTGCACAAACAATATTTCAATATTTCTCAACCTTGTCTCAAACCACGGATTTGAGAGTTTAAATATTCTTTTTTTATAAACGTTTAAGGGTCGAGTTGTCCATTGCGTACTTGCTCTTCGACTTCTTCATTACTTTCGGATTGTTTCGGTTACTTTAAGTGATTTTTTCAAGAAAATGTTTTTCACAGTCACCAATAGTTTTCCACTCCTTTTCTTCCAATTGAACTTACAATTACAGCCCTGGAGCCAGGCCCCAAATATTGACCTGATCGCAGGCGAAGGTTTGATTGTAAATTACAAAATTGTATGTTATTCTGAGTAAAAAGAACCTTGTCTGCCGTTCCAGAGCCGCTGCTTTAGAAAATGGCGGCAGATTTAAACAATATTAGACCAATAATTTGAGGGTCGAAACGGGAAATCCATTGCGAAAAATGCGAGAAAAGTTTTATTTTTTTTTAACTTGTATATATGGGTTTAGACATATAGCGCGGACCACCAAGAGAAAACTTTTTACAGGCAAAAAGGTCAGGTTTTTTTCATTATTTTTTTGGTTTTTCATCTATAACTCCTAAACGATGCATCAAAGCAAAAAATGTATTCTTTAATAAATTAAAGAACATTAAATTTTGCGTCAAACGAGGACATAAACTTTAAAATTTAGTTACGCGGTAAGGTATAAAACCACGGTCAACCGACGCTGATTTTTACGAAATTGGGTCAAAAACTGAGACAAATTACTATAAATGGCCCTGTAACTTGGAAATGAGTTCGCTAAGAGGAAAAACTCATAGAATCAAAGTTGTAGAACATCAAATTTTGCGTCTGCTGAGTCAACATTAAAAAAATCAGGTCGATTTTTGTGTCCTGGCTCCAGGGCTATTAGTCATGATGTTAGTGGTAGGCTTGGGGTTATAATGAAGAAGAGCGATATCTCTAATAGTCCAATATTGTCTGATTCCTACTCATGCTTCATTATGATTCCTACTTTTGAACCGGCGATCGCATTCGATAACTTCTCTAATGACATGAATTTTTCATTCTTAAGACTCGTTCTTGGTTATCGATTATGAGATTCGTTTTCGACTTCATCTCACCCTAACTTGAATTCTCTGACCCACTTTTACTCTCGGTTATAGAACAGTGTATTGCACTGAGAATTGAAAGCTTCAAAATGTGTAAAAAATGTATAGATCGACTATTAAAATTAAATGAAAAATAATTTTATTGTGGGACTAAAGTGCCCTTAGGATAACAACAGAGTTCAAAATATATATACATCAGTCTGGCATGTAGCTTATTACATCTACATTATTAGGAAACATACATGGTACTTTTAGTTTACAGAATTTTATTTTTCTCTTTTCTAAACTGAATAAAATTAAATGAAAATATATATTTACCCTTGATTTGTTTCAGACGGTAGTGAAGTTGGTGGTGGAACGGGGAAACGTTATAGACTTCAGCCTAACGTGACGGAGGTGGGCTCGGAAAGAGGCTCTCCGCACGGTCACGGCCAATCCCTTCAGCTCTTTGGGCCTAACATCCAACCGAGGCATTGTGTAATTGCGCACACCGAGGGTATTGTAACTGTTACCCCTTGCAGTAGGGATGCTGAGACTTATGTGAACGGTCAACGCATCTATGAGACCACTATTTTACAGGTAAGTAATTTTATGTATTTTAATAATAATTAAATTTAAAAGTAATGCATTCATCACCACATATACTGATGATCGGTCTCTGCTATTAGTAAATTAATGGTCATTCAATTGCATTCCAAACTCTTCAATCACATTCACAAAACTTCAAAAATGGTGTCAAAACTAGAGGATTAAATATCACTATTAATCTTCATTGTATACCTATCATTTTCTTTCTTACAGTAGTATCCCCTAATATTACACATACTAAACAAATCCTCTAAAGGCTCGTCCACAATGGCATCGATCCTGGCACCATGTTCGCGCCAACCTTAATATCTCGGCACTTACTCCATGTCTGGCCATATTATCGCACTGACCCTTAATCTTCTTCTGACTTTACATGGAAATAACCTCTCAGCTAAATGTGCGTATTGATTAGAAAAGTGATATTTATTATTGGGGAATATAATTTTTTTTATAATTTAATAAAGGAAAAGCATGTGTTTAAAGTTTATTATCAGTAATTAGGGTCTATAAAAATTGGAAATTAAATAAGGCTTTGTGTACAAGTTTCTTGATTCATAGAGTTGAGGTTTAACATTAAATAATCAAATTTCTGTTGCATCGAACACTTACAGTCCAAAATCCTTCATAAAATCCTGAACACTCCTTAGTCAAAAATAAAATCATCCATAATCAATGCCATTAATGGCATTGATATTTTATAAGTTGTCAATTGAGTCCAATTTATATACCTATTCTTCCATAATAAACCAGAGTGTTACCAATGGCTAATTTCTTGATTTGAGAATTGTTACTTTTTTTTATTTTATGTATTAATGTGAATGAGTAAAAATTCTCCAAGATGCAGAAAATTTATGTTAAGTTATAATTAAAAAATTCCAACCACTTAGCCTTGCGTATATGAAATACAGGTAAAGGATTAAAAAAAAAAAAAAAAAAAAATAACAGATTGGATGACATGGAGAGATGTATTCTTGGGTTTGTTTTTGTTTTCTGTCCTGATGAGTTATTTTATTCATTACCTACACTTTAAAGAGAAATATTTTTTTTGGAATTTTCCAATTATAACCTAACATTAATTTTCTGTGTTTCACCTTTTGCAATCTGAAATATTTTAATTATGTAGGTGTAAATTTAACTTTTACTGATAATATTTTCAATGTTTCAGAATGGTGCCACTGTAAGGTTTGGTAAGATCCATAACTTTCGCTTCCTTGATCCTTGTTACGAAGAAAGAACAAGGCAGCGCTACGATAGTTCGCGATCACCACACGATTATTCCTACGACAGGTAAGCAGAAACCAGAATTGTCTTAGTCATAATTGGCAATTTTTTTCAATCCACGCTATTTTACTTTTTTTTTTTTAATCATGCATGTTAGCAGTTTAATTTATTTTTTATTTGCCTTTTGTTTTTGTTTTTTTTAACCTCACTTGCACTATTTGACCTCGACTCGTAGACAATCAACCAGAGAAGAAACCTCCAGCCTTAGCGTAGGTAACGGGCCTACCACTACAAGCACACCCTCTGGTAATCCTCTGAACTACGAAACTACCTTTGATGTTGACGGGAATGTTGAGACGAGGTCGACTTCTAGCCAGGGTAACAAAGAAGAAACGAGATCCCAACGGTCGATAGGCAGTAGCAGGGAAGGAAACAGGTGGGTTTGTTTATTGCTAACAACTTTTTCTTTTATATATTTTATGTCTATTTTAATTTGCTTTGATCACTAGAGTTCAGTTTTGTTGGAATGCTACCCCTGTTTGTATGCTTCTTTTTTTATTTATTTTTTTAAATATTTTGAAAAAAAATTAACTATGTTTATTATTTATTTCAAATTATTAATAATTTAACCAATATAAATAAAATTATTAGTGATAATTATAATCATAGGATGTAAGTACGTTAACTGTTTATTTTACTGTTACTCTCATTGAATTTTCTTATAACTTGACAATTGTTCATAATTTATTGTAGAACATTTTTATATGTGTTGGCAATTTCAAAAAAATGGAATAAAAAAAGAAATACATACTATTATTATAAATTTTAATTTGAAAGGGTTATTTAAGACTTCATATTATTTTTATTATCTCGACGTTTGTAGCTTATTATTGGCCTGTTTTCAAATTACGAGGGTGGTCTGAAAAGTTTCCGACCTAACAAAAATATAAGAAATTTTTCTAAAAAATTTTTTTAGAAAGTCCTGTCCAAAAAGTACTTGGCATTTTTCTCTGCAAAATAATTGTTCTCGAAGGTCATTGCCTCTTCATTTGATGAAAATCTCTGTCCTCCAAGCTCAATTTTTAGATAAGGGAACAAAAAGAAGTCGCTTGGAGCTAGATCTGGTGAGAGAGGTGGGTGGTCACAGTGTGTTGAGTTGGTGTAACAAGATTTTCTTTTTCTGCAAATCTGGCAGTTTTTTTTTTGACAAGTTCTGCCTTCAGCTTGTGAAATAATGATGCTTAGTATGCTCCTGTAATAGTTTTTCCTTTTTGAAGATAGTCGATTAAAATAACTCCATGGCTATCCCAAAAAATAGTCGCCATCACTTACCCCACTTTTATTGAATCTGGTTCCCCCTTTGCAGTCCACTGTTTGGACTGTATTTTTTCTTTGGGCGTTATATCCAAGTTTCGTCTACAGTAATTAATCGGTGCCAAAATTCGGATTTATTGCGCCAACAGAGCGTTGGACAGAGGCTGAAGCTAAGGGGAAAAGAGCTGGAAAAGTTAAAATATGGAATGACCACCTAAGAGCCCTGAGTTTAATTTTATAAAACTTTTTTGGGAATTTCTTGATAAAAAAATTATTGAAAGGCTACTGAATTCTTTGGTAGACCTGTGTAGAGTTATAAAAGAAGAATGAAAAAAGTTTCTCTTGATCACATATCCTTATTAAATCCGTTATTAGTCATTATTAAATTTGTTCTAATGTATGGCTGTGAGACCTGGACACTAGCCAGCACCCTAGAAAAAAGTATTAAAAGATATGAGAGAAAAATCCTTTGCACAATAATCGGACCGATCGGGGATCAGAGTACTACTTTCTATCTTCTGATAAAGAAATGCTTTCAGAAACTGGTCAGTCAATATCCCATGAAATGAAGGCACAGAGATTAAGATGGACGGGGCATGTAGCTCGTAGCAATCCATCTGGAAGCCTCTACATAACAATGAAGCCTCAATAGAAGGCAAAAGACCACGTGGAAGACCCAAAAGCAGATGGATAGATAGAATCAACTAAGATGCAATAGAGCTATGTGCAGATAACTTGAAAGAAATAGCCCATGGCTGGATGAGATGGTTCAGGCTTGTTAAGGCAGCAAAAGATCTTTATGGTCTGTAATGCCAAAAAAATCATTAAATGCTTATTTTCTTTCAATAAAATTTGATGATCTTAACTATCTCAATATTGTTTGATAGTTATCTCTTTTATCTTTCCCTCCCAATTTCAAAAACGATATGGCTTTGTTCTAAGACTTTTTCTCAGCATTACATATATATATTTTTTAATGAGTTATGAGTTGAAATTAAATCTCAGTCATTGATATTTTATTATTAATTTTAAAAAAAATATGAAATATTTTAGTAAAAATAATTTTTTAGAATGGAATAAAAAGATCAATTGAATATCAGGACAGATTACTTTGGTTCTATAATCGTCTTACTAATTTAGATATTATTATATAGTTACAAATACATTTTTATTTACATAATAATCAGATAGGAAAAAAATGTCTGCTATTTAGTATTCATATTATCTCTAATGAACTTACATATATCTTCATTATCTTATCTCAAGAGAATTTATTTATCACAAAATTATTACCTGTTTTTGTAACCTTCAGTTGCTATTTTGACATGAAATAGTTTTCCTTCTTTCTAATAGTTAAGTTGTATTATAATGCCTTAAATTAATAATGCAATGGATTTGTTTTTGAATTTTTTATTTAGATGTACAATAATATAAAATAATTAGTAAATATAAAAATATTTACTGAGTTAAGTTTTTAATTTCTAAATTTTTCTTCTTTATAATTTAATCAAGAATTATGAAAGTAATAAAAATTTTAAAATGTCTTTGTCAGCATGTTCATGTAACAAATATAAAAAATCAGATTTTTCATATTAATTACATTTCTTTTTTACTTTTTTATTAAAATAAAAATTAAAAATAACTTTAATTAATTGTACCATTATTGCTAACAAAACATTAAAATTTTATAACTTTTTTTCTTCCCGAATCATGAACCGTTTTCTCTCTCCATACCGAATCCCAATGAACATTTTTTCTTTTGTTCCATAACGGACCGTGATTCACATTTTTTCAAAATCAACCCTATTTAAGTCTCACTATTTTTTAATTAGTATTACACTTATCAAAACTTTTATTACAATTGGAATAGAAAATATAGATTTTCACATTTTCTGAAAAATTATAAATAATGATTAAGGTTCACTTTAGAAATAAATGACTTGTTTTTGTGATAACTAGTAAATCTTCTAGTTCTTATAATTTTTATAAAACTAAACTTTCTGATTTCTCTTGTTATTACTGGTTAAAATACATATTCATAAGTTGTAATGATATATATTTAAATAATGATTCATTTAATCTAATTTTTCTACATCCAATATTTCTTATCTACACAGGGTAATGAATTACGAGAGGTACCCAAGGGGGGCAGATCCCATTCTCCCCGCAGTGCTGGAGATACGGGAGGAGACGGAGGAAGCACTGCTACATGCACTCATCACCGACTTAGACCCAAATGGTCCAGGTTTCAAACTAGCTCCAGCATACACCCTCTACCTGATGGCACGATACCGAGCTTCGACTCATTATCGTCCAGAACTCAACCCAATGGAGCGTGCTCAACGGTTGACTCTGATACTTGCGAGGGTAGCTGCGATCATCCACTCTTTTATTCAGGTTTGTATTCAAAGAAAAATTCTTTTGAAATTGATATTGGTTTATTTCCATCATACACTATATTTCTCCATGTATGATCATTAAATACCCTCTTAACTCTTAATAACACCAAATCTAATGTGGAAAAAAAACATTATACCTTTTAGTATTAACTTAAATATAACACATTTTTTTGGATTTAACTAATAATATCTTACAAGTTAGCTTTTACTTGGTATATTTACTAGTTTTTCATTTTCATTTATTAACAAAAAAAAAACTTTCATTTGTACTGAATAAATTTTATTTGTAATTTCGGATGCACATTTTTCAAGAAACAGTTTCTTTAATTTATAGAACATAATCCTACCTGATATTTGCTTTAAAAAAATCTATATAATTAACCTTTTTAATATTAATCTAATTATTTATACTATTTTTAATCAACATTTTATACTAAAAAAAATTGATTTAAATAAAAATATTTTATAAGTTCTTGATACATCTACAAGTTTTTAAATAAATAAGGGTGTTAGTTATCTTTACTCTTTAATCTATTATTTGTATACACTTATAAGATCTTCCAGATTTTCAACCTTTTTGAGAAAGATGTAGGGAGAGGAGTAGCTCAGTGGTAGGGCCCTGAGCTTCTAATGCAAAGGTCCCAGGTTCGAACCCCGGCTCGTGGTAGAAAATTTATTTATCTGTTTCATTGGCAGAGGGGCAACCCTGGGTTGGGAGACCCTCCTGGGGCACACCCAGCCTCTATGAAATGGGTACCCTTAATTAAATAATTAATTAAGAGGGAAAGCCTGGGGGTTGAGTGTGATCTCGGTCAAATCACCTCCTTGCACAACCGTTGACCTAGAAACAGTGCTTTCCCTAAATAGACCCTTCATGGGTTGTAGAGATATAGGTTTCAGAAAGATGTCTCATCAGAATTAAAAATATAATTTGTTTTATCGAAAAGTATTTAAATTAACATTAAATTAAAAGTAATAAGAATAAATTAATTTTTTATGATGATAAATCAAAGCGGGCTGTATATCTTATAAAATGCAATTCTTTTTTCCTGGGTGATAAATATTCAGAATGCAGTCATTATAAGGTGTTTATTAGTGCCTACGTTTCAACCCAAACATGTGGGTCATCACATCAGTGTTTTAAGCACTGAAGATATTCACTAGTTTGGGTTGAAACGTCAGCACTAATGAAAACCTTATAATGACTGTGTCCTGAATATTTATCACCCATGATATGTAGTCCACTCTACTGACTTTCTTCCTTCAATAAATCTTTTTCCCTATTATATGCATCCAATGTAAATTACCAAAGTACTGCTCTTAATACAAATATTAAATAAAAGATGTGACAAATATTTTTAATACCAATAGAAAACAAAATAAATAGAAAAAAAACCATTTAAATATACCATTATTATTGATTTTTTCATTGGGGCTGTTTTAATAGAGTTACTAGAGGTTGTATTAGATTTACCATAATTTTTTTAACAATAATAACAAAGTATAAAGCTGAAAAAAAAAATTGTTGAAACAGACATCTTAGATGCCTTTTAAAAAAATTAAGAAAGTTGTGTAATTACAATGAAAGATCAAAGGTTTATCTTCTATAATTGATCAATGAATAAGTTCAAATGATTTTTTTTTAAATTGAAGAATCGTTTTAATCTCTTAATGTTTGTTTGGTTCTCCTTTAGCAAAAATATTAATTAGTTGTATTAATTATTAATGAAAAGATGAAATTATTACAGGAGAGAAGATTTGAAGTGAGGTGGCTCGCTTTGTGGCTTGCAAATGCATCCGAAATTCTGCATTTCTTAAAATCAGATAGACATATCTCAGGATTTTCTATTGAAGCCCAAGAAACACTAGCCGATGCTGTTCAAATTGCATTCAAGTAACTATCGGTTTTAAATTATCTGTCATATTTTCCTAAAGATTGTTTTTAATTGAAAATTAACTATTTTTTTTTAGGCATTTAGTCACTTGCCTCCAAGGAGAACTATCTGCAGTAATGCCTAATTTCCTATCCGATAGAGATGATTTGAGCCATGATCCAGAAGATTCTTCAACTGCCTCTGTAAGTTTTGCTCTGAAATTTTATTTTATTTATTTAGTTTTGTATTTTTGAATGAAAATTATTCTTTTTGATTTATAATATATACTCAACCATTGCAGACATTTATATATTAAAGTATTATTTAAATTTTAGGTCCTTGGAGTGCTCTCGGGTGCGATGAACTTACTCCGAAGGTGCAGAGTTAATGCGGCTCTAACTATTCAATTGTTCTCTCAGCTGTTTCATTACGTAAATGTCTGGGCATTCAACAAATTAGTGGCGCCTGGTTCTAGCTACTGCTCCAGGCAGTGGGGTCTTCGAATCAAGGCCCGCTTGGCACAAGTTGAGGTCTGGGCAGAAAGGCAGGGTCTAGAACTCGCAGCCGATTGCCATTTGGCCAGGATCATGCAAGCAGCTCATTTATTACAAGTAACTACATTTTTAAATTATCATTGATAATAAAATTATTTCTGTCTCTTGTCCATCAAGAAGAAGTTGTTGTAATCTGTATATGTTGAACAGTTTATATCAAAAATGAAAAGTTGTAAGAAACTGAAAGTATACAGAGTGTCTCAGTTCTTAATGGTTAAACTCTGGGGGGGGGGGGAGGAAGAGGGGGTGATTCTACACAAAATTTTCTACAAAAATTGTTGATTTAATGCATGGGCCTATTTTGAATGGAAAAAGAGTTAAGACCTATTATATGTTTTTTAAGGCGGTTACGTTTCAAGATAATTAAATTTTAAGCAAGTCATCATAAAATAGACAAAATCATTATGAGAAAATATTGATTAAATATTTATCTTTTTAATTTGCTTTTACACATTTTATCAAAACCCTGGGGAACTCAAACATATTGGGAACTCAGACATTGGTAAAAGAAACCATATTGACAGTTTCTCCACTACACCATGTAGCTGTTTTTCCCAATAGTTTATAGTTTTCTTATGTTTGCAGGGTTTGGAGAATAATTTAAAGATGCCTTTAAATTTACAATTTGCAAATATAGAAAGGGTTCAGTATTTTTATAGTGAATAATAAATAAATTAGTATTTTTAAAGGAGTAAGAATAATTAGTTAAATAGATTTTTATTCAACATAAATATACTCTATCAATTCAGTAATATTACATTATCTTATTATTATAGTATTACATACTCTATTAATTAATTAAATGATATTAATTCGACTTTAGTACAATAAAGATAATTTTATTTTTCTAGGCTCCAAAATATACTTGCGACGATCTCGCCTCCCTCTCCTCTACCTGCTTCAAGCTGAACTCACTCCAGTTGAGAGCTCTCTTGCAGAACTACCAACCTACTCCGGATGAACCAAGAATACCTCATGATATTGTAGAAAATGTGGTGAGGGTATGTTTTGTAATTTGATCTGCAATCGTTTCATTTCAAATGTTACTGTAGTAAGGGTATATATTTACAGTAATGTTTGATATGGAACTAAATTAAGTAACTCATATACTTCATTCAGTATATATTTTTTGCTTAATATTAACAATTGAAACTGGTCTTATTTAAAATTATTCAAAATTTTGGTTTAATTTAGATAATAATCTATTACAGTGAAATCTCAATAATGTGAACAACAATTAAACTTACCTCGTGTGTAAATATGAAACTGAAATTTTCGTTCAAGGAATGCATATTTATTGCTATTGTAAAATGTTTAGAAATATTTTCCATAGATATTTTCTAGGTATTCATTTTTTTCAGCTCTCTAAAAATTTATGAATGGCAATTGCCAGAAAAACTGTTGCTCTCTTACGGCAAATCAGTTATCAAACCATTTAGTACATTTTCGTTAGAAATTAAGCACTGCTGAGCAAGCAAGTACCTGCTCCATCAATGTGAATATACAATAATCTCGGAGCTAAGTCTGCGCCACATGGGGTTATAATTAACAACTGAACGCATCAATCGTGTTTTTGCTTTGTGTGAAGGTATATTATGATGAAACAAAATCATGTTGTGTTGGTTTTTTTGATATTCTGATTATTTTTCATGTAATACTCGGTTCCAATCGATTATTTGTTGTTGATAGTATTCAGAATAAGCAATTTTGTCAAGTTTTAGCAGTTTTAATAGATCATACCAACGTTCACCATTCTTTATTTCTCATGTTGCCACCTTTGAATTTTTTAAGCTGCTCAGAACACATTAATTTATCAAAAGCATGCTATGTTTCAACAAGCATTCGATGTGATTCTGCAGCAGATTTCTTTAAATGGTAACAGAAGGCTAATACTGTCTGCAAATCGTAATTTATAGGCACAAATCTTGACATGTTCTATGATGCTGTCATGAAACTCATATTGTGAGTTAAAAATCTTTGCCGGCTCTCAAAAAAACAAAATGATGCCAATCATGTGGTTGGAAGATAATTACATTAATAAGTAGAGGTATCTCTGGGGATATACAATTCCGGTTTCATATATCACATTTGGTACAAGAAGGTTCCTCATAAATATTTTGATATTGATATTGAGAAATATTTCAATTTTTTAAGTAAAACTTTATTTTTACCACAAAAAGTTAGTTCTAAGCTGTCCCTGAGTAATGTTCATTCAAATTAAACATTTCTCAAGGACAGATCAACATAAAAATAAGTATGAGAAGGAGTTAATCAGGGGGGTGCGGTCAAATAAATACTAAATTGAAATATAGTAATTTTTTTATTTTTGCCAATGTTTCGACCCACTTTGCTGATCGTCTTCAGGGCTACAAGAGATACAAAACATGGTGAAAATAAAAAAATGAATATAAGTAGATATAAAATAAGAAGAAGTTGTCAGATACAGAAAAGATGATATCAGAGATATAGTGGGTGACAATGTAGTTAGAATATCAAGTATTATATATGTGGAAGATACAAAGAATTGGAAAATAAGTATGAATAAAAAAAAAAAAAAGGAGAATATAGCATGTAAGTTAAAAGTAAACTGATTGCATTAAAAGATAAGGAATAAGTATATAACAAACTAATAGAGATTACATTTGATAACTGTGGGTTAACAGATAAAGAAAATGAATGTTAACGAATAAATAGATTGAAAATTGAATAAGTATTGTTATAGTAAAGTTAAAATAAGATAAAATTCTTAATTTTAATTCTTAATTAATATCAAATATTATATTCTAACTACATTGTCACCCACTATATCTCTGATATCATCTTTTTATTTCTTTACCTGACAACTTCTTCTTATTTTATATCTACTTATATTAATTTTTTTATTTTCACCATGTTTTGTATCTTTTGTAGCCCTGAAGACGACCTGCTTAATTCTGGGTCGAAACGTCAGCAAAAATAAAAAATTACTATATTTCAATTTAGTATTTATTTGACCGCTCCCCCCGATTAACTTCTTCTCATATTATATCAACGGTCAACCATCTCTACATCATTATAAAAATAAGTAAATTTACCTAAATTCAAACCTTTAATTTTCTTCTAATCCAAACATAGAAAATAAAAGATTATCATTGGTGAAGCTTACCCAGTCTCATGAATTTGTTTCTTCACCTTAACTAAACTAATTTCTGTTTTCATATGTATAGAATTTCGATTTAACTTTAAATCGTTTTACTTCTCTTTTAAATGGCATTTTAATATTATTTTACAGGTTGCGGAGAACCTCGCTGACGAATTAGCGAGAAGTGACGGTAGAGAAGTAAGGCTAGAGGAAGACGCCGAACTGGCCCTGCCTTTCCTTCTTCCCGATGATGGCTACTCCTGTGAGGTGGTGCGAGGTGTGCCTCCTGGATTAGTGGAATTCTTAGCTCCTTTGCAAGCTGCTGGCCTCTGCAGGCTAACTGCCCAACCTACCTCCAATGGCCTCTGGACTGTTTATATGGGGCATGTTATGGTTAGTATAAATATCTTGTTTCTTTAAAACGAATGAATGGCTCACAATTATGTTTCATATATCGTTTTGCATCCATTAATGAAAATGTTTTTTTTTTTTTGTTTTTTTTAAATTTCTTAATGACATTTACAACTGTATTACATAAATACATCTAGTAAATTTGGACATAATAGATATAATGATATGAATACACTTGCTGAGTAACTACCCAATGGTAGCACTCTAATGATATGACTACATTAGGAGATCATGGAGCCATCTTCTTTTCAGACGCCTCGGAGGGTTATCAGGAATTGAAGAGAAAGCAAGGTTAGAAACGAGAGGGTTGGGATGATTCTGAAGGATAGGTTTATTATGGAAGGATAGGTATCTGGATTGGGCCAGATCTGAAACATAAGGAATATTAAGATCTTTATGGATAATTTTATTAGTGACAAAGTAAGGAGCATTGAGGATTTTACGAAGGATTTGTCTAGTAAGTGCTGAAGTAATCGGAAACGTCGAGCGGTTTCTTGTCGTTTCAGTCTAGTATGAAGATTCCAAGTTAGTCGCTTGTCCAGGTGGAGTTCAATGAAAATGTAAAAGCATGTAAACCACTTTGTTTAGACTTTGATTAAATATCTTCTGTAATCCATTCATATACAATGGATGAAACATTAATTTATTAAATTAAGTAATTACTTCAATGATACAGGAATTTTTGAAGTAATTATTTTTTAAACATTTATTGATTAATCTTGAGCCCAAATTATATTTTCATCATTTCTCAATGTGGTCTCCTGTTTGATCTAAATTCCTTTGTCTCCAAAATAGACCTATAGATATTCCTTGTTCATAGAAAGCTTGAAGCCAAATTTTTACTCGCTTTGAGACTTCTTCATTGATTTTCTTAAGTGATTCTTGTAAGAGTTTCAAACAAATTGTTATAAGGGAATAAGTGTGAAGTACATATTCCGAGGATATTCGAAAATTTCCTAGCCAGTTTCTTCTAATTTATTGCTAGTCAATATTGCTCTGTAGATCCCGACTATTTAGTAAAGTGACTAGTCAGAGAGGAAAGGGAATAGTTCAGTGAGTAAGGTACTGGGCTCTTATTATTAATTACCTGGGTTCGAGTTTGGATGTACCAGATGATTATTTATTCTGTTACATCAGCTGTGGGTTGATCCTGAGGTTGAGAGATCCTCCTGTGGCCATACTCAGTATCTATAAAGTGAGCATCGTTAATTAATTAATTAAATAAGTGGAAAGACCTGCTGGTTGGGTGTGATTGTGATTTTATTATATCCCTGACATTCATTGGCCTAGAAACAGTACTTCTTTACAAAGTACTGAACCCAATACCCTTCAAGGGTTGTCATGGTACAATTTTTTTAAAATTTTTGTGATTGAAAAATTACAAACTAGAAATTGCTAGCAGAGGATAAGCCTGATTTTTATTTTATAAGTTACTATCAATAATTCTTTCTATTATTGTTTTTATCTTATTATTTTGGTTTGGAATTTCTTTACGTATTAATAAAATCTGGTTTAAGTTAATATATAAAATTTATTATTATTATTATTTATGTCCAGGCTCGCAGTCCTAGTGCCATGAGCAATAGATCATCAGGTTTCGTCCCAACTCAACACGAGCCAGAAGTCCAGATTATCAAGCTGCACAAATCCAACAATGGAATGGGCCTCAGCATTGTTGCTGCTAAGGTTAGTCTTAATTAATTATTTATCTGATAATTGACGTGTGATTAAATATTTATTTATGTTATAATGATACTAAATTTTTAATTGCTAAACCCATAATAAATTAATTAAAGACACCATCTATCCTACAAAAACACCAGCAAAGTTAACCATGAGCCAGCAATGGGAGAGCAACTAGAACATTTATATACAAAATAAAGAAAATGTTAGAAATTTTATATTTATTTTACTTATTAATGATAAATTTCATAATTTTACTTCAAACTATTTGTCTGAAACTCGTTTACTTTTTCTTTAAAAAAAAAACTTTTATTTTATCTCTTCCATCCAGTGTCTTAAAAACCCCAAGTTTAGTCGAACTAGAATATATAAGAGAGGAGGAGTTGCTTGGGGGAGTGCGGCCAAATATATATTAAATTTTTAAAAAATAGTATTTTTAATTGTCAGGCCAACGTTTTGACCCACTTTGCATGTCTTCATCAGGGCGTGGCATCAGGAACTGCAGGAAGCAGTTGATAAGACTGATGAAGACCTTACAAAGTGCGTCAAAACGTCGGCGTAACAATTAAAAATATTATTTTTTAAAAATTTAGTATTTATTTGACTGTTTTTTTTTGTTTTGTTTTTTTAAAGGACATATTTAAAAAATTTAAATACAAATTATGAAATCTGTCATGCGAGTGGACACATCAGATTTTTTTGTATCAATATCTAAAATCTCACTAAGTTACGGCACTCACTTGTTCCTTTTAAATAAAATATAAAGATATTACTTAGACATGCTCCTTTACTCAAATTTCATGTGACATCAGAATAGTTGAGTAACTAAAAGTATTCCTTAGACTTTATTAAAAGAATTATTTATTTTGTTCCTGAGATTTTAATTATAATACACTTGTTTTATTATCCGGCGGAATAATGGTCTATGTTACAATTTTTTTCAAAATCAGATTGTTGAAATAACATTCTATATTATTCATTCTATATTATGTCGTTGTCTTATTCACATTATTAATGTAAATTTATTCAGAAACCAACAAAATTTGTTGCTGTATCACATTATTCAGCTGGAATTATGAGTTCTATAATTTAAACATATTACAACCACATTGAGTTCATTTTCATTTAAAGTCACTTACAGTTATAATGTCTCTTACCCAACCGTATTCAACCAACATCTCCATTTCAATGTATGGTATAAGATATTTTCTCGTTTTATTTAATTTGTTGACTTTTTGTCCTTTTATGTGTGGGTGAAACTGACTTATTTTGCCATAATAAAGAATAATAATTCTTTAAAAACAATGTCATGAGTGATACCACTGTCATTAATAGTTAAAGAGAATGATGGGTTCTACGTTACATTCAAGATGTACGAAAAAATTGAATATATTTTATTCCTCTTTTTTTTCTGATATTATTTTAAATTTATACGGATTCCTAATATATACTGAAAGTGATACAGTTTCTCAATTTATCTATTGATGATATTGCTACTGTTAGTGCCAAAAGTTGTATGTAAAAATTGAGTTTTTTTTTAAAGAAGAGCTTAAAAACTGATTATTTCTTAATATAATTAAATATTTCCCTAAATATTAATATTTCCCTCTGCTGTTTTCCATAATAACAGACTACAAAATGTCACCTTAAGCCCAACTAGAATAAACATAGACAATTTTCACAGACACCCTTTTGCACTAACAATAGCGATATGTTTTTGATAACTTACAGGAGTAAAATAATTTTTTTATTGTAGTTTATTACTTGTTTTTAAAAATATTTCTATTAAATCATTATGCTAAACACAAAATCACTGTTTTCCATTAAGACTACTTTTCGTAGACCTATTTTTTTTTTTCTGTGCATAAATAATGAATGTATATTAATTTTACTGATCAAACTGAATTGAGAAAGTTATGTGTGATTTTTTTTTTTTCATTAGGGCTTTTCACTTTCACTCTCTGGAATTACATTCATTGTTTCCTTTCCTTCCTCTTTTAATGTTAAACTTTCAATTTTTTTGTAATATTAATAAAATGTCTTATATTTTATATTATATTAGTTAGTTCGATTTATATTATCAATTGGACCTCTACTGTTCTAATTGAAGATTTAGGGTGGGATGCTCATACTCTTCAAGAGTGAATGCTATCGCCGTCGTTCTCCTCAAAGAAATATTATTTCCTTTTTCTTTAAAATGGTGCACATGAAAGTAGAATTATAAAAATTGTATTTTATTTACAATTACACTTGTGGTCCATTTCATGGTTTGAAAGTTCTTTGAAATTGAAACCCCACAACTGTATGTCCCTTTCAAAATCAGCTCCCTTCAAGAACTCATAATCTCAGTTAAACGTGACTACTCTTTCTGCTTTGAAATGCCAAAAACCTAAAAGGACAAATAGGTATTGTAAAAATAAGTGTACCATTATGATTTGATTTTTTAAAATAAATTTAAAATCTTTCAATATAAAAGAGAACAGAAAGACTCGTAATACCTTCACACTTACTATAGAATTCTATATGGACATAGTTTACAGAAAAAGTATGTTTTTATATTAATAAAATATTAAAATTGATCAAATTGATCGTTTAACAATTGATTTTAGATAATAATAAGTGAAAAATCAGAATATTTCCTAACCATTTATGGAAAGTAAACAGAAAATATAAATTGTGGCTTTTAAATTTTGATAATTGATGACTATGTGACAGTTAAAAGAATGAAATTATCTTAACTTGAACTGAAATGTCGGGTGTTTTTTAAATACTTCTATCAAAATGAGTCACATATTTCCAAAATTAACCCTAATCATCATTGACAAATTTTTAGTAAATGCAAAAACCTGTAATATCAAAAGTAATATTTTAAATAAAATAAATTAATTTAGAAACATTGAACATCAAATAAAAAAAAAAAATGGTTGATTGACGGAGAGAGTAGAGGTTATTAAAATTTTACTATATAAATTTAAAAACAATTTCATTTTACTTTATATTTATCTATTTTATTTTTCTAATAATTTTTTTTTTTTTTTTTTTTTTTTTATTATCTTTTTTACCATCATTACTTATGTTTCTCATACCTTGTTATCTGGTTATTTTCTTAGCCCTGATGAAGGCCTGAACTTCAGGTCGAAACGTCGGCATATGTAAAAAATAAATATTATAATTTATTTTTGCCTTCCTTTTTGACTGAACACCCCAACTATTCTTCTCTTCATTCTTCATTCTATATAAATTTAAGTTTTCGTTTACAATAATGAAACATTAAGATTAATTTATTTATAATTTCCATTTGAATAAAAAGTTTAAATAAGTTTTTGATGAAGTATTTGTTAAAAAAAAAATTATTGCACTTATCAGTTCATTAGTAGATTTTTTTTTTACTTAGGGATTGATACTTATTTCGATTCACAAAAAAATATTTTTGAATTCACTTTGAAAATAAACAACTCAAATGAATTGTAAATGTTTTTCCTTGAAAATTTTAATAACAATTTTTTTTGTTAAAACTAATATTTCAGTTTTAATTTTATGAATTCATTAATTATTCTTTATAATTGTGGGTTGATGGTTCATGTTAACATAAAAAATGCAGGTAAAAAAAAACTTGAAGTAAAATGAAGTAGATAAGTGAATATTAAAGTAAATAGTTCTTGTTATTGTCATTATTCTGCCTACTTTATTTTACTTTAATGTTCACTTATCTACTTAATTTTACTTTAAGTTTTTTTTTACCTACATTGTTTATGTTTCTGATACCTATTGTTATCTGGTTCTTTCCTTAGCCTGGTTCTTTCCTTAGGTAACGTTTGATGAAAGCCTGAACTCGGGTCAAAACGTCGGCAAATATTAAAATAAATATTATTATTTATTTTTGCCATTTTTATTTTGAATAATCATCCCAACCATCCTTCTCTTAATTATTCTTTATTTTCATGTGTTTTTTTTTTTTTTTACTACAATTTTATCTTTTTATGAAAATGTTATCTTTTTGTTTTGTTAAATTATATATTTTTATTAATGCAGCCACCCGATTTGATAGATACATTATTTTCTTTGCACATGTTTGTTAATTTGAAGCAAGGGCGGATCTACGGGGGAGGGAGGGAGGGGCTTTTGGGCTGAAGCCCCCTCAAAATGGAAAAATATAACCATGTTTTATGGGAAAATTGTTTTTAAAAATACCTCTTAAGTAACATTGTTCATGTAATGACATTTAAAAGTACTTAAGGAATAACTTAAACACCATTTCATATAGGTAGTTATCTGTTTTTCCAAAGTAATTATCGTTATCTTTATGAAAAAAAAGGTTTCGGGCTGAAGCCCCCCCCCAAAATTAAATCCTGGATCCGCTAGTGATTTGAAGTAATCTAGTCCCGATATTGTTTTATTTATTTTTTTCTGTTCTATCAATCACTGTATTTATTAACAATGATACTATTGAAAGAAGTTGTTTATTTTAAAATTCACCAAAATTGCACATGAATGAATATCACATTAGGGTATATTTTTGCCATTGACATGGGTGGGCCCTTGATCCAGATCTAGATGGCACAATGAACATCCTGCTCTTCTGCCAATGGCTAGATTGAGATAAGATAGAGGCAGTGGCTCTTGTGTTATGGAGGTTGTGGAATGGCTCCACTTTTAGCTTCCATTAGCATTTCCAAGAATGGTTTTTAAGGCTTGGTAAAGTCAATTGTCTGACCTATTTTCTTCTATTTTTTTTTTCTTTTTGAGAGAGATCAAGTTCCGTAGATACTGTTTCTATTCTGATATAGTATATTACCTCAGAAGAGAATAACGGAGGACATGGCGCCATTGCAGAACGGAAATAAGGTCTACAGAGAGATCTTCTGTCAGAAACGTTAATGAAAACATCCACAGAAAAAGATCTAGTATCTACCGTGTAAAGATGTCACCATACGCTAATTAGAATGTTAATTTTATTGTTTTTAAATTTTTACTAAGAATTCAATGTTGTTTTTTTTTAATGA